TCGAATATATTGCACAACATTTTTCAAAGAAACATTAAACCTAAAATAAAAAGGGTTGTTATTAAAGCAATATTAACCAGCACATGCAGTCGACACAAACAAATCGGTCGTAAAGAGCACATGATGACTTCAGGGAACTAGAATAAAGGCGGTTGCCGGTTGGTGCGATAAATCAATATGATGCCAAACAATCCCGCGTAGTGCGCGAAAGGGTTAAAAATAATTGAGAACTAACTAAGGTTGCAAGATGGTATAATCTTGGAGAAACACTTTTACATAAACGCACAGTGAACGTAAAAAATAACCCGTCAAATACTTTATTCAAATGTCTTATGTAACCGATGGATGCACGTTGCGTCCGATCGGCTGCTCTGGAAATCTTTGGGGGAGGCCTATGTTCAGGAGTGGACGTCTTCCGGCTGATATGATGTTGATGATGAAGTGCTGTATTTCATATACATTCACTTAACTGCCTCCGTGGCCGAACGGTTACCATGCCGGACCGCCACGCAGAGGTCCCAGGTTCGATTCCCGGGCCGAGAGAAATAGTTGTATGGCCTACAATTATTTCTCTCGTGAGTTTGGGTGTAATTTGTGGTTGTCTATGCGTGTGTCCATGGTACCCGCGACACAGGGTTTCCCTAGTGCGGGGCTATGTTGAGTGTGTGCGTTATTTATTTATTTATTTATTTATTCAAGTCATGTAATATTTATATTTGTTTTTAGTTAATATTTCTTACATTTTATAATTTTAGTGTTCACCACACTTGTACATAAGTGCCATCTCATTTTTTGAGAAAGCGGTTTGAATTGCCAGCGGTTTGAATTTTGAACCAGCGCTGCAGCAGGTAAGCTATAACATATGCTGAGTTGGATCCGTTTAAGCTTATGGATATATGTAATCATTAATGTGAATTATCTGTTTTGCTTAAATTCTCTTAAGCTGAATAAACGTTTCTTTCTTTTTCTTTTTATTTATTTATTGAATATCATGATGTTTTAAATCCATCATTGTCATATATTTTTTGTGAAAATACTCCACTAGCTTGCTATTATTATTGATAAAAAAGGCGAACACACAGAAAAATTTCTTCTATCTGTCTGGACTCGAACCAATGTCTGTTGTCATGCCGGGATCACCCCTCTTAACCAACTGAGCTACAGACTGAGTCAGCTCTAATGAATTCCTTTATGTTAGTAACATAAACACAATACAATACAAATATTCTTTATTGGTTTAAGTACTTTAAATGCTATATCTTTTTTTTTTTTATTTTTTTTTATTGCGACTCGACAAAATGACTGCACCGCGCCTGATGGAAAGTGCGAATACAGTCCAGAGATGAGAGTAACGGATGGAAAACACAAATATCTTCACTCCGTCACTATCATTTTGCCGGTCTGGCCAAATGCACTGGATGTACACCAACTGATCCCTGAACGCGATTCGCAAAAGCGTTTCACTGTGGAGGGTTTTCCGCCGTGTGTACTGTGGTCGCTATCCAGTCGGCACAGAGCCTACCACAATGCTAAGCAGATGGACACTTGTGACGCCCTCGGTCGCCTCTTACGACCCCCACGGGCATGTATGGGGAGGCGACAATGTATTCTTAAGCCGTCGCCCCACGGCTAAGATATATCTTTAGCATTTAAAGTACTTATGTACTTTAAATACTATATCTTTAGCATTTAAAGTACTTATGGATTGCATAATTTCATTCGCCTTCCCCTTTCCATCATTGGGGGACTACACGTGGGCTGCGGTTCTGCCCTCATGTTATGGATATTCCCAGGATTCACACGAAGCGTTTCGCTTCCACATTTAAATGGCGAGCGGCTAGAGAGTGGAATTCCCTGCCTGCGGCCTTATTCCTCGAATGCTATAACTTGAATCTCTTCAAGGCGAGAGTGAATAGGCATTATTTAGGTGTGCATCAGTAGCGAGGCGTCCATGTAACTCGATTCCCACTGACTTGCCTAAAATTTTCCACGTATTATCAAATATTATAAAGTAATTTACTACATTTTATGCACAATTTTACGTATACTATAATTAACCAGTGAAATAAAGTGTACTACTGGTATCTTGTGTGCTAATAAGTGCTGTGTTTAATTGTCGTCAAGGCGTCACTTGTTAAGGCAAGTGTCTTTTGTTTTGCTTTGGCTTTACTAAAGATAATGTCCCATTGATTTTTTCCACATAGCGGAGTAACAATAATGATAATAAGTTGCTCACGGGCGGTTTAAAAAGTGGTTATAACTCAATACTATCTACATAAGAATAAGAAGTGTTTATTTGGCGTCACAAACACAAAGAAAAACAAAATACTTGACACATTTATATTTTTGGAGAAAAGAACAAGAGACTTATGGTAAATCAATATTAAGTATGTGTTAACATTAACAAAAAATACGTTGCTAACATGATGGCATGCCTGAAAGCATTGTGAATTATTACAGGTGGTCCCACACTAGGCTAAGTTTGTCCTGTGGCAACCCTTTTACGGTTTCAATTTGTTAATCTCGGCATTCGTTACGTTACGATTATATTTTACAATTAATAAGAACTTATATATCTATTAAATCCAACATAAGAATAGGAAATTTTATAGATTGTATTAAGTAAAACAGCATGAATTTAAAATAATTGTGACCAACATATTATTGCAAAAAGAAATATTTATATTTAATTTTAATAATAATTAACTACTAAGGTTCTTCAGCTGAATAAAAATGTAATCTTGTTCACAACTGGAAACCCACACCAATAGTCACCCCAACAGGCTGTCACTTCAACTTGACAACTCCTATCGAAACAATGAATGGCAACAACTAATACCACAACCAACCCACTGACCTAACGACTCTTATGGAGCTTTCTGTAAGTTCACAGTTCCAAGACTGGATATGTGACCTAATAATCCTCTTCGCATTGTGAATAGAGTTTTCTTTAATGTCGCATATTTTTGCAATTCTTTTGTAAATGAAAGGAAATGCAAAGGTCCCAAAGCGTTGGACAAATATTGGTCGCGTTTTCACCTTAAATACGTAAAGAAGGATATTCCCGAGAATATTCGCGTGCATATTAAGGGCAGCTTTTAGAATATACAGTTTCCGCACACCTAGGACCTTCATGTCTTCAAATAACGAGATTGTGGGGTAACGAGAGGGCTTGCGCAACATCACCTTTAGCACCTCTCTCCAGGTTGATCATATAGCAGGATGAAGAGCCTCCTCACACCAAGATGCAATAGCTCATATATCTGTACTATCAGTCACAAACGCAAAGGAATTTGTAAGATCGACTGATTCGGTCTGTAGCTTGGTTAAGAGCGGTGGCCCCGGATTACCTAACAGTAGTCCGAAATGACATTTTCCAGAAATGACGTTTGCTCGAATGTTCATAACCTCGAAAGTAATTTTGTCGAATGTTCATAAACTCGAAAGTAATTTTGAGAGGAAAATGTTTTTTCTTTAAAAATTTGCGATAAACATCCAACATATCCTGAAAGAACAACGGTTTCGTTGTGATTCGGTTTTCGGTGTAATGAATATTCGAACAAACGTTATTTCGAATTTAAAAAATTCGAGTTTATGATACGTTACCATGGCCCCGGCATGGCAACAGAGGCTGGTTCGAATCTAGTTAGATCGAAGGAAACTTACTTTATGTCAGATCTTTGTATAAATATTTTTTTTTTTACAATAGTTACCAAGTGACTGGTGGTAAGGGTGCGTTCTCATTATGTCGTGACAGTCGTGCAGTTTAAAGTCGTTCACGACTTTTATGACGTTACGACTACAGACTGTCGTGACAATGGAAAGAGCTAGAATGACAGTCGTCTGACGATAAATAAAACGTCACGATAGATAATCGCAGCTTCAAACGATTCTGTCGAGCAAACATCAAGGCGGCTGCAGTGAACCTATAATTTGTCGTCACGATCTAGTGGGAACAGCTAAACAGTCGTTCAACGATAAAATAAACGTCCACTGTAGAATCATAACAGATAGTCGTGATACGGGAACAGGCTAGACGCGACAGTCGTTCAACGATGAATAAAACGTTACGACAACGTTAACGGGAACGCGCCCTAAGCGACACGCCTACCCATAACAGTGCCACTCAGCGCCCGTCACCCTGGGGCATTAGCTAACAAGTCCCATGTGCCAGTAATTTCACTCTACCACCCTTACGGACCGGAATGCAGTTATATTGATATTACTGCTTGGCGGCAGAAATAGGTAAGGTGGCAGTACTTCTCTGGACGAACTCTTTCACAAGGAGCTCTACTGCTACTAAATTTATTACTGTATGCGGTTTATGAAGTGATGAGCTATGTCCTAACCGAACTAACTATTTTCTGCGATATAACGTCCATTAATCTTCAGAAGTCGAACATAAATTCACCAACTTTTAATGCAATGGCCAATAGAATGAGAGTTGCTTTTGAACACGAAAAATCAATGATCCCACAAACGATATGAAAAACAGTAATAAAACTGTGAGAAAAAAAGAACGTGACTACGTGAAACAATTTATAATCTATCTTGCTAAAGATTGGTGAGAAATTATCCATCAATTGACATGGAGGATTGATGACTGCTCGCTGACCCACATCGCGGAGTATATCTGCTACTCTCTTGCACGTTACCCCTGGACAGGAGTGGCAGAGATGGATGGATGTTAGTTATTTTTTTGTCCATTTACTGTCTTTTGTTTTAGAGTATATTGTTGTCACTCGTTTTCGATTAGGAGTAAATTAGTAGGAGATAAAACGTATTAATTTAATAGAAAGAATTTCAGAGATTTGTAGAAAAAAAAACACCTTATGGTATTTGTTTTATTCAATGCGTTTGGGAAAGAAGACGGTGTTTGCATTTGAAGATCAGGTTGGAAAACCTACTCTTGCTTTTTTGTATAATTCATTTTTTCCGATATAGGAAATGTAATGTTGTATAATGTATGTAATATTGTGAGTAAGATGGTGGTGACTTACCTTTGCGGTTTCGTCAGACTAGCGAAGTAGACTGGTTTTCTGTTTGCCGATCGTTGCGCCGCCGCGGCCGCCGCCGCATCACACAAGCCACCCTCACGTCGGTGATTCCCCCGCGCGCCGTCCCCACCGCCTTTTTGCCTTTACAACTTCAAACTACACCTACTGTCACAGACGCGCTTAACTACACAGCCAGACACATAATTAAAACAAAAGTAAGGCAGGTCCGTACTATAAAGCACCCAAAAGTCCAAGGAAATTAGGCGATCCAAATAGTCTTGATTAGGCGTTTCAATTTGAAAATTTTAAATTTGGCTATATACTTTTTTAAATAAAAATTTGAAGAGCTCCCGCGCTATTACCTATATTCGTGATTTTCGTGTGTTTTAATACGCGGCGAAGCACGCATCGTATTCCCGTCACGCTCCATATAAGGCGTTTTAGAGGGAGTGTCGGGATCGTCGGTCTCTGTCACACGTCTCTTGGTACATTAACCTGGAACAAGAGAAGTTCCTGATTAGTCTATGGTCTGGTTTCCGCACTCTTAGAACGTTAAAAGCACTGACGCTTCAACTGTCCGTTTTCCTCCCTTAAAGTTTAAAAAGAAATAAAAGCAAAACTTTGTTTTAAAAATTGGTTCTAGCGTTCGGTTAGTGCAATATTGTGTCCAATCGAACACTTTTTGTACGACTGTGCATTTTGGGGCGATAGTATATTCACGGGCCGTGGAAGAGTCAGTACCTATTGGCAAATACACAACGTTCGGATTTTTTATTCACATTTCGTTTGGTACACTATTGAATGATTGAAACGCGTTGTTAATTGAATTTCATTTTTAAATCGACACACGTAATTTTTTAATGTGATTTTTTTATCATCTGTCTCTCGGGCCAGTTTCGTTACTTTTTTGACGTGGAATAGTACAATTTACATTTCAACATCGATCACAATTCTTTTAGAACCTTTTGACACTTATAATATGTAGTTAGTTTCTTTGCGTTGTACTCTTACAGAACTCAATATACATCTAACCATTTGAAAATGGATAGTTATACTTGTTACATAATCAAATTTGTATGGACAATAGCCCCCTTTACAGAGCTACTTTCTCGTCGGGAGCGTACAATATTGTGCGCGGGAAAGCCTGCACGCGCAATCGTGCGCTATTACCTGTTTGAAATTTTTCAAGCTAACGTTCTTTCGCGTGCGATTGCTCGTGTTCGTTTTTGTTACAACGGAAAGCGCGTCCGTGTAAAGGCTAATAGCGCAGGATAGGCCGCGTGAAACTGGAGCGTCCCTTTTCCTTCCAACGTCTTTACACGCGCGCTCAATCGTGCACGATTGTTGTATCACGCGCGATGGAGTCTGTGCAAGGGCCACTATTCACCTGTATGGACTAAATTACAAAAAACGTTTTCACTGCCGTAGGCCTTTAAGACCTGCCTACGCTAAGCGCTACGACGTAGAGTTTACGACTTAGTTTATGGCCTACTACGAAAATTACGTATAAAACAAAAATTACCCCGTAAACTCTTGTTTTCTCGTTTTGTTAACTTAACTATAATTGACAGGTCAGTTGAACCTGTAGTTTTTGTATTTCTTTTCTTATTGCCTTTAGCAACAATGTACATATGAAGATTTAAGTAAGAAAAAAATTGATTAATCCATGAATAATCCTTACTTTATGTTCAGTGTTGTTACAAGTAAGTACAGTTATTTAAAAGTTAAGTATAGATACAGTTAAGTTTACATACAGGCAGAAACATTGACAAAAATCTATGAAAATTCTGATTTTTGACAACATTAACATAGATGCCCCAAACATAGTTCCAAATCGTTTCCCATTGTCTCCAATATAAGCTTCTCTTTTCCTAAATCATGTCTCTATTATTTAATCTACGCACTCAATTATGTAGTTCAGTATGTACGTGCACAGTTACACTCAAAGATAAGTAAGACTAAACAAACAAAACACTGCTACGTGATATATGTATACTTACAGAAGTTAAGGAAACGTTATTTTAAATGTAATTTGTTTTAGCGGTGATAAAAAGATTATATTTAGAGATATAAAGAACTAATTTTTAGGTGTATGCAGTCGAATTTTGTAGCCTTAACAGGTACAGTCAAGAGCACATCAAGCTTGACACTTTGTAGTTTGGACCGTTTTTATCGTAAGCGGCATATAGTTGGATTTAAGTCTTAAGTGTAAACCTTCCAACCACGCGGCGCTATAAACGCACATTCGTAAAACGCGCGTCGTCTGCGTTTAAAAATACACCGTGTGAACAGGTACTTATTATCGTTTTATTTGATTTTGTTTTGTTGTCTGTATGTAACTAGCCCTTCTAAGCATTTTGTAATTCCAGTTCAGTTCTGAGATAAATATTATTCTTGTTATGCTTCCTCTCTTTCAATGCGTAAGGCAAAGGAATGGCATCTGATATCTCGGCGATCCAACGGCTTACACATGCTAGATGAGGAGGTCCCGGATTAAACTCTCGGTAGGACCAATTTGGTAAATGAACGTTTCTAAAGTCCTTAGTCCTTAAGGCATATATTATGTGGGTCATGTGGCCTGAAATAAATAAATAAAATAAAGCAGTTCTGGTCTGGGTGTCTGGGGGAAGTGCGCCAGATTAGTAAATTCCGTTTTTCTGGTATTCATATACAGGAAATTCCCTAGTTTGAGACCAGACCACTAGAATACAGCGACATCTCACGTCAGACTCTGGTAGCTGCCATAGTACTGAGTGAGAAATTTCGTAGATCTTTCACAGATGTCGTTTAGGGCGATAAAAGCTGAAAAAACCCAATACAAACACATTGGAAAAAATATGTAGTAAAGTTGAGGATATACATTGATTACTACACGGTGTTAAAACACGATTCCTAAAAATTTTCAAGATAGAAAAGAAAACCACATATTCACCTCAAAATTTTACAACAAAAACCACTATATACAATTGTACTTTACATATACCAATGATTTTTATTTATATCAACTGAACTAAACAGAAGACGTATACTACATGATATACATTTTTTCAATGGCTTTAATTTCGTTTGTAAAAAAATAAAGTAAAATATCTGAAATAAAGCCAATATCAATGCCGTTCGACGTTCGAATAAAATAAACTATTTTCGCTTTCGTAAACTTAGGCCTACATACCCATGTATATCCCTAAGCCACCACTCACCCCTGATCGCAGATACTATGACACTCCTGCCACTAAGCATCTGGCATAATTCTTCCGGTTGTTCCACTCTTCCATAAGTCTTTTCATAAACGACGGCCGTTTATTCTTATCACTTGACATTGTGACATGACATTTTTAAGGACTCAATCTGGTTGACATATATGTTGGTATATACCAAGGTCGACCTTTCCCGTTGCCTTCCACGTTCGCCTTTCATATGACGTCATAGTAGGTATCCCATATAGATATTGCACACGCCTACAATCCACTTACAGCCCTATTATCCCTATTGAAAGCTTGCGACAGGGCTTATCAAAGTGATCCTTTGCCTAATGCACTTTCAATAGAACCAAAAATATATTTTAGACTTGTTAGGACGTGAAAAACGGGAGCAAGTTTTTTATCAGAATACCGCATTTAAAACCTTGAAACTGTTAACATTAGATAAAGGACAGCCTGCAAAACCGGGCTTACGTACACACGCTAGCACATCAAGCTACACATTGACGTATCTTGTTCCGTTGCAATGGAGGCGATTTTCGAACAAAAATTGCCGTTGTGCGTACTTTAAAACATGGTTAAAAATGCTGAAACATTGCTAAAACAATCAATCGTTACATTTGAAAGATAGCATGTTAGTATATACTATAAAGTTTGACAGTACCACAACACAAGCATTCTTACGCCAACTAGTAGGAGAAATGGTCAGTGTGTCTCCCAATTTCAAACTAAATTAAATTTTTAACAGTTAACAGTCGTTAAAAACAAAAACAAATATCCGACAACAAGTCTGTGTTTTTGAAGATGGAGTAAAATGGTAGTTTATTGCGCAAAAGTGTTGCTCGCTAGCATGCAGCTAGTGATTGCAGTTGATAAATATTTTATCGACTATAGACTGAATGTTGATTACGCTTATGCAATAAATAGCCAAACTTGTTTTATTGTAAATTGTAAACAAGATATGAGAACAAAACATAGAAAAATTCACGAGGTCCGCTGGTTCGTTCTGTGGCTCAGTTGGTATAGCGTCTGACACGGTATGCTAGAAAACGTCGTCGGTTCGAATTCGGCCGGATCGAAGGAATTTTTTCAGAGTGTTCGGTCCTTGTATTAATAATTATAACAAACCAGTGGAGTAATTTCACATAAAAATAATTGAATATCAATTCAATATAAATTTAAATTGTAAATAATTTTACTTAGTTTAGGTATCACCTACATTACTTGCACTACTAACCTTAATTAAAGTTATGCAAACAAAGAATAATTTCATTGTTTGCGATAGTCTGGCGCATATATATAAATAAAAGGTTATTTAATAAGAAACATGCATTTTGGTTAAATTTTTTATACAGAATAAATTTATCATTATCTTTTTTTGACTCATAATCGGCCCATTACTCGTTCAACTGCTGGGCACAGGTTCATTTGAATTGTCAATTTTTGTAAGTTCATTACATACGTACAATACATTTAGAACTATGTCTATGCAAAATACAAAGAGAAGACACATTGGGCCTGGCACTGGTGTGGGACGCCACATGTGGCAACACACTTGCCCCATCCTATCTCCAGCACACAAGCAAGAGGGCTGGCTCCGCAGCTGAGCTGGCGGAAAGAATAGAAAGTAATAAGTACCAGGAACTTGGGTCCGACTACCTATTTACAGCCTTTGGAGTCGAAACCCTTGGCCCGTGGGATCCCAGTGCCGTTCATCTGTACAAAATTTTATCGAAAAAATTAATAGACTGTCTGGGAAACCTAAGGGCCGGCTGCTACCTTCCCAATGCATTAGCAAAGCAATACAAAGGGGGAACGCTGTCAGCATCTTGGGCACCTTGCCACGGGGACCCAATTTTATTCATATAATTTAAAAATTCTAGTTTTACTTTCTAGTATTTAAGCTTTTATTGTCTTTTTTATCTTAGCTGTATATTATCTTAATGAAATAAAATTTACTAGACATATTTAAAAGTTCAATATTGATAATCAAATTCGCCTTTCCTTATTACGATGCGGTACGATACGATGATATTGATATGAATAAAAATAGATTTCGATACTAGTAGGCCAACTATCAAAATAAAAATAAAGAAAGCAATAACGTAATCATTAATACGTCATAACATTTACAATTTAGACATTTTTGCCAAATTAAGCGATTAAGCGATTGAGTATTTAAAATTTTATGAAAACTGGCAACCCTGCCAAATGTCATTTAAAAAAAAGACAGACTATAATATGAATATGATTAACGTCGACAGGAACGCAAGCCAATGTTAGTAATTGCACGGA